CTATGCAGAAGATGTTTGTGACGGTTGGACAATGAAAGAAAAAAGTTCAATTAAAACCTTGCCACGAAACATTACAAAACACAACATTTTTTTCTCTTAAAAAACCGAGGTTGTTGACTGAACAGAATTGATCCGACATTTTAGGACATACAGATTGAAAAGATTAACGTATTAGATTGTAAAGTTTTTACGGTAATCTGTGTTTTTTATTACATGAATTCATAATTTAAAATGAATCTTTCAAACTGATCTAACAAAGAATTTTCAAAATACATTTTCTTTACGGTTTTTAATTTTTCAACAGATTTCAACAGTATTAATAACAATTTCAGTTATTTTATATAACTAAATATATAATTAAGACGTGTTAATCAATAAATATCTCAAATTAGTAAAGCAGAATAAGTCATAGAAACACAAAATCAGATGTAACTTATTTAAATGGAGAGGTTTTTTTTTAGGATGTTTTGTACACAAGAACAATGTACGATACTCATTAAAGCACCATTGCTATTTGTTTTTTAGTAACTAGCTTTTCCTGATTCAAATTCAATTTTGTAATTTGTCTATCTTTATCTAATATCTTCTAGTCGAAAAAGTTAACTTTTTTAATTAATTTTCAATATAAAAATTAAAAAATATTTGATATGAATAAAAATCTGAATAAGAATTTAAGACTGTCTCAAACATTAGCTTATCTGCTTAACAATGAAAAAGTCTATTCAGGTATATAAACTGGACCATTGTATATATATTAAATTTGGTGTCCCGTAAGGCTCAGTTTTGGGGCCTTTGTTATTTTTAATTTTTATAAATGATTTATCCACTGTCAGTAAATCACTTGAAAGTATATTGTTTGCTGATGATACCACTATTTTATGTTCTGGAAAAGACATTAATACTGTGGTCAATACATTTAACACTGAAATGGAAAAAATATGCAGTTGGTATAAATCAAATGACTTAAATATAAATTATAAAAAAACAAACTATATGATTTTTGGTTCTAAGATTGTTACTAATTATTTATGGATTTCTATTAAAATTGATAATAACAGTATTGAAAGAGTGTATACAAATAAATTTTTAGGTTTTGTAATTACAGACAATTTGTCATGGTTAAATCATATAATGCACATATCAAGTAAAATTTCTAAAATTACTGGTATCATTCGTAAATTGAGGTTCAAGCTTAATTTTGATGTCACTAAAAAATTATATTACAGTTTAATTTATCCGTGTTTAACATATGGCGTAATGTTATGGGGTAATAGTTGCACGACCCATCTTAATTCTTTGAGATTGGCCTATAATAGTTTTGTTAGATGTCTTTTTTTCTTGAAAAAGTATGACCATGTCTCAAGTTTTTACCAAGAAGCTAATCTATTAACAATTAAACAAATATATAATTTTGGTCTGTTAAAATTTATGTTTAAATTATATCAAAATTTATTGCCTCCTAGTTTGTCCATTCAATTTAAAGCTCCTGATAAAAAGTTACGTGTTTTAAGACAAATGAATTATTATGTTCAACCTTACCCTAGATTAGTAAATTATAAATTATCGGTTTTCACTTTGGAATAGATTGCCTTCAGAGTTCAAATTATTAAATAGTATTTCTGATTTTTCTAATAAAATATTATTATACGTTTCCAAATAATCTTTGTTATTTCTAATTTATTATGCTGATATAATATGATTAAACATTTTTGAGTTTGTTGCTGTTGGTTTTTGAATGTATGTCTTGAATGTATGTTGATATTTATTCTTGGACTTAGTTTGAATTCAATTTGTTGTTTGTTCAGGCAAAATCATATGATTGAACATTTTAATTATATTGCTGTTATTTTTTGAATGCATGTCATGAATATATGTTAGTATTTATTTATTGGCCTTAGTTTGAATTATATATTTGTTGTATGATCTTACACATTTTAGATAACACTACAAGAATCAAATTTTAGTTTCATTTCATTATCATTTTGTTTTACGAACGTTTAATTTATGTGCAGTGTGCTATGCTTTTGTGTCAAACTGTTGAACGAACAAATTATGTTATCGTATATGCGCTTGATAACTTTTTAAATTGTTTCTGTTTTTCTTTTTGGTGGCCTATAAAGCTTAATAAGCTTGTATGGTCTCCAAGCCATTTTTTGTGGTTAATAAAATTTATAAAATAAAATAAAATAAAATATATATATATATATATATATATATATATATTGGTATTGTGTTAGACAATGTTTGGTACGCAACGTGTTGTTGATTGTTATAGTCAATGTTATTGTTATTATTGCTAAATGAACTGAGCAAATGTTCTGTTAAGGTAAACAGCATTATTCGTGTTATGATTGTATGTGATGTATGCTGTGCTGTATGACGTACTATGCCATGCTATCCAGAGAGGCTAATTTTCATCGAATTAAAATAAAATTTGCATGCATTTGATTGAGATAGCTAGTAAAAATAATAATCCTTCAACATTTTATTCGCATTGATGAATAACCTCAAAAAAAGAAAACTAAATTTTTAACAATAATTTAACTAAGACTTTTCATATTTCAACTATTGTTGAAAATAAATTAACTATGTTCTTGTGAAGTAATAAAAAAATACAATAAAATTTCAAGATGGTAGAAAATTAAATGTGTAAGCTGATAAATCATTGGATGAATAAAATTAATTACATAACACTGAACGTGCGAACTGATGTAAAGTTACATCTGTGGAGGTATGTAGATAACGATTCACACCAGCTGCAACCAAACTTGACCTGACATTGACCTAATTTTGAAAATTCTCAGAAAAAAATACTGCAACAGCTAACTTTGATTGTTTTTTTTTATCTTAACTAACTTTCACCATCTTTACTAACTTCCACTATCTTCACTAACTTTCACCATCTTCACTAACTTTCACCATCTTCACTAACTTTCACCATCTTCACTAACTTTCACCATCTTCACTAACTTTCACCATCTTCACTAACTTTCACCATCTTCACTAACTTTCACCATCTTCACTAACTTTCACCTTACTCACTAACTTTCACCATTTTCACTAACTTTCACCATCTTCACTAACTTTCACCATCTTCACTAACGTTTTAACAACTGGAAAATTATCTCAGAAGCAATCACATTGAAAAATTCATAGAAAAGAAAAAACAGCACATGTGTGATCTACAACGTTAGAATCAAGATAGCTTGCTTAAAACCTAACAACAACAACCTGTGCCATTAACTTAACGCAGTAATGGCAATATTATTATTAATAATAACAACGTAAACAAACATTTATGGCTGGTTTTAATTTTATTATTGTTATTATTATTTTCATTTGGAGTATTAATAATTTTGAAATAAATTTGCCTGAATATGATTTTATAATTTCGTTACGATCACCAAGATATCAGTGAAACCTGTATACCTACATAAATTCATCGAATCATCATAAGAGGAACTTCCGATTTGACCAGTGCCTATCTACATCTACTTGTTTATGAAGATCAAATAAATAAGTCGCCACGGAATGGTTGTACTCATATATGCCTATTTTAAAATTATATAATATATACAGACACACGCATAATGAAAAGATTTCAAAAGTATTTTTGAAAAATATATAGTAAGTTTTAACGCTAACGTTGTTTTGCTAGTAAGACTGGAATTTCATATTGTACACTACTACTCTGTATGAAAATCAAAAATCATTAAAAATTACTTAACGTTTGAGGGATTTCAAATTCATATACATACAAAAATTCGCATTATTTATAATGTTTTTTCTTTGTTTCCAAACTATTAGAGTTCGGGGATTTATTTTAAAAGAAAGTTTCAACAGAAATTATTAATGTATAACAGGAGTGGGCAAACGTTTAGCTGTGGGGGCCGCATTGAATCTATTTTAACTTTGAAGGGCCGCATATGTACTTAAATAGCAAATTTTTTCGACCAGGGGAAAATTTTTTTTAATCTTTGTGGCTTCTTTTCTTGGTCATAATGTCTGGCTGACGACCTTTTTTGGCGAACAAGGCTTCGCGGGCCGCATAAAATAGCTTCGCGGGCAGTAGTTTGCCCACCCCTAATGTATAACAATTATATTGATGATTCGAAAGTTTGCTGGATTAGATAGACCAAAATTTCTCATCACGTACATTTAATGGGAATAATGTGGAAAAAGTATTCAGCTACTTATAGTACTGATGGAGATAGAGTGAGAGAGAAAGAGAGAGAGAGAGAGAGAGAGAGAGTAAGAGTAAAAGAGAGAGAGAGAATGAGAAAAGCGTTCTTTGAAATTCAATCTAAATTTTAATGTTTACAAAAACAAGCAATTATATTTACCGGTGCAAAAAATAATATTCATGATAACTCCCATAGTGGAAGTAATGTACAGTACATGACACAATGCTCAAATGAAATATAAATAATAATTTCTGATCTAAATTTAATTAAAAATTACAAGTTTAATTACCCTTTCAAATTAAAAAAATATAACTTTTTTAATTTATTCATATAAAACCATCTCAAATGTATGCAATAGAAAGTAAAACCTAGTAAAAGGTGAATTAATGCGTAGTCATCATCTCAGTGCGATGAACTTACAACGCGGCTCATTTGAAATTAATTAATTAATTAGACTCATTATAAACTTTATGCTAATTAATTATGTCGGTTTATTTATTTTAATAGTAATTAACAATTTTAATCAAGACAGAGATTTATAAATATATATATAATATATATGTTTATAATATGTATTATGTATGTATGTACGTCACTATGTTGGCATGCAAGCGAGCATGTTTTATTACTTTACTACGTTATGCACTGTTTTACATGCATATTTGTAAGCGTTAACGTATGCGTATTCTTACTTGTTTATTTATCCATAATTATTGTTAATATTTTTACATTTATTTAGCTAGCGCATCTAAGTGTACGCCCGTATGCTGTACGCTTGTGCGGATGTACGTACGTGTGTACATTTCTGTGGTATTTTTACTTGAGTGCCGTAGGGAGAAATGCTGTGATGCCTAATTGGGCTGTTTCTGTTTTTGAAAGTACATCTGTAGATCTGTGGTTACTGAAGAGCTGTGGTTGTGGCAGTTTGTAGTCGTTGTGGTCTGTGGTGGTCTGTGGTCGTTATGGTCTGTTGTTGTTGTGGTTTGAAGTTATTTTGTGTGGGTCTGTGGTTATATTTTGTTATTAGTTAATATTTATACATGTTGGTTGTATGCTTATTTGTAAGTGGGCGCGTCGATATATGTTTATGTGACTGTGATTAGGTTTCATTGTAATTGGTTGGGAAAGTACGTAACCACGTTGAAATTAATTAATTACTTAGATTAGTTGTTGACATGCAGATGAGTTGTTTTTTTTTTAATTTTTGGTGGACGCACAAATAAACGCATGAACACCCTCCGAAACAAACAAACAAACAAAGGGACAGATAAACAAAAAAAATAACAACACACATTCATCTACCAAACATAACAACTAATCAACAAACCAAAAAAAAACAGATAAATAACATATCAGTAAAAAAAACATCAAAGAAAATATGTAGACCACATCGTCATCGTTGTATATATCATCTTAGCAGGCAGTGGTTAACGAAAATTTATTGTTATGTTTAAATTCCATGCCAGACACCATTAGGCCAACTAAACGATAAAAAAAATTAAACAAACATAAATGATATAAAAATGTTTCACGTATGATTGATTGCACGATTTGTTGAACAAATGCATTTAAACGCTCGCAATTGTCTTCGATTGGCGGAATGCGTGGTTTCAATTTGAAACATGCACCATACAACATACAATATACAACAATAAACAACAACCGACATACAACACCCACAACTGACACACAACAAGCAACAAAAGCACGCAACACGCACGCACGCATAGTACGGTGTACATTAATTATTCATCAACCGCTTCCGATTGCATCATGCTAAGTTGCCAGACCTATTCCATTCACATACAACGTAATTGAATGAATCTGCGGTCATCCAAATGAATCGAAGGATGGATTGAATTTTATTCCAAATGAATAAATCTATCTCAATTAGAAGACAAAACACCTCTTTGACAATATTTAACATCAAATTTTACAAACACACATTAAGAACCTTTCAGTAACAAGTAAACAGTACCTGGTAATAAAAATGAAAAAACTCTTTTCATTAAGCTAACCTGCATGGTTTCTTCCTCAAAAGTCTCTTTTTGATGCTGTGGTTGCTGTTGCTGCTGTGTGTTGGGCTCGATTCCTTCATCGAAACTCTTCCGCGAGCAGCTAGTGCATCCAAAGCAGAAACATCTGGAAGTTCTCAGCAGTCTCCTCCACCTGCCTACATCCTCCGCCATCTTTTTCAGATCAGATACAATGATGTTCTGGTCGTCGGGTGTTTGTGGTCAGATAATGATGTTGGGTAAAAAATAACAGAGATGATGGTGTTTGTGCAATGATGAGGTATGATATTTATAGTGTTGATGTTGATGACAATTAATGAGGTTTAATGGATGATGATGACCATGTGATAAAGTTGTGATAATAATGATTAAAATTTTTCTTCTACAGATGATTATGTATCAAGTTATGATGATGAAAAAAACTACGGTTGTTTTGTTTGAAAGAATGGTAATGACGTTCAATCGGCTAATTGCACGAGAGCTCCAAGAAAATGATGCTGTGATGTTGTTGGTGATGATGGTGACAACAATGTTTTGTTTCAATCTTTCGAAATGGAGAATGTTTACAATTGATGGTGGTGTTGCTGCGGCTGCTAAAGACGATGATGACGACGAAGATGATGATGACGTTCTGGATAATAGAGCTTACGTTGAAAATGATAGTAACGTAAGCAATTACATGATGATGATAAAGATGATAATAATAATGGTGCAAACATGTGACTGTGACGTAACACTAGTGAAGCCAATGACGTTGATGATGATGTTGATTGACCAAGACGATGGCCCAGTAAATGATAATGATGATGGAGAAGAGGCAAAACTCGTTAGTTGGATTCAAGACGATTGAAACGATATAGGAATAATAAATTTCCTTTCAATCCTGTCATTGTCGTAAAGTAGCAGCAAAAAACCTTTGCATAATGGTTAGTATTGTACTTTATCTATGATAAAAAAAAGTCAAATTGTTTGATTCCAAGTAAAAAAGCTAGTAGATTCATCTTTTTAATCTATAACTTGTTTTAATATTTATACAGTATAAATATTCAGAAACTGAAATTTCGTAAAAGCCAAATTTTTGATTGATAAGTCAAAAAAAAATTTCAGCCATTCCCATTAGAGAGAAACTAATAAAAAATCTTCTTTAAACAACAGAGTAGAGGCGAGTTCTGTGCAATAAATCAAAGCACAAATGCAGATATAGTTTAATTTTCACGTATGTCATTTTCTATCAACCGCTTGTCTGTCCATATATCTGTCTGTCTACCTGTTTATCTGATCTGTCTCCATGTTTATATTTGTGTGTCTGTCTGTTTGTCTGCATGTACAAATGTGTGTAATCCAAATCGACACTTTTTTTTCTCTATGATCACAAAGCGAACATAGCCAAATAAACAAAGTAATTATTTTTCATGTTGCCCTTGCAAACGAACTTCAAACAATTTTTTCCTACTAACTAACTACATCATCATTGACTTCAGAGCAATAAAAATCGTGTTATTGTAATTATTTTAGCGTCAACAAGAATTTACATTATTATTATTTTTATAACTCATCTAGAGTTTGTAGAGTAAGTTTATAGAGTCTAAATTGATTATGCTAGAGAATCGAAATTATCCTTTTTTGGAAGTGAAAAAAATATTTAACGATTCCACCATCAGCCATTCATTGCAAGAAGAACCCCAAGCATTACTTAAAGTTGGCTCGACCGGCGGACAATTTGATCCAGGCCTTATCAATGGCAGATCATTAAAACGCCAATTTGATTTTATATTTATAAATTTAAATAAGGTTTATTTGATTTGTGCTGAGTAAATGTAATACAAATTCACTCCACTACTTCATCATAGATTGCATATTACATGTGAATGTATATACGAATTGCTAGAAATATTATTCGTCTCCGTATATAATATCATATAAAAAAAACAAATTTAAAAAACTTATTAATTAAAATATATTTTTTTATTAATTCTTTATAATTATTAAATTATGATTAACTTCAAAGACTCCAAACAACAATGAGCAAACAAATTCTCTCAACTCAGCCTTTGTGAGTGAATGAATTAAACTGTATATATAATTTTCTACTAATATATATATATATATATATATCACTTATATACAAATTTGTTAATCATAAGCATAACGCATGTTAAACATTAGATTAATGTAATTAGTTATGTGAAAAATATATGCATATGTAAGTATATATTATATATAAACATACATGCATATATTGTTTTGCAATACACACATCCAATTTTTTAATAAATTTAAAATACCGAAATAAAATTAATATATTGTCATATAATGGACAAAAAATTACATATAAAATATATATATATAATTATTTATTTCTTTTCTACTTAATAACTTATTATAAAACTTTATTTGACAAAAAGAAATAACTACACAGTAGATTGATCACATAAAAAAATATGAAAAAAAAACTCAACCGAAACTCGCATACAAGTAGAAGCAATTAACATACATACTTTCTCTATAGCATGCACCGAAAACCATGACTGACTTGTATGGCGAAAAGAGACCAGAGTCAAGTAGAAACTAACTGAATATATATATATAAACTGACATGAATTAATGTGTGTGTTTGGTGTGTGTGTGTTTCTGTGTTTACTTTATACACACAAACACACACACACACACAAATATTATATATATTATATATTTATATATATTTTATATATATACAGAGACAAGTAGTGAGTATACATATTTGTAATTAATAATTTTATGCCAGCACGTACGTACACAATTGAAAGATACGCGTTCTTAATATTGTATGTACTCATTAAAAATTCACTTCACTATCACTATGACCGACTTGACGCCGCACACACACTCACACACACCACATACACACACCACGCACATACACACACACGAAACGAAACGATATTTTATTTGTTTCTCAAAATTGAAAAATTTAAAAAAAGCAGGATGACCATAATAGAATTAGTATAAAATTCATCTGGTATGGCCACCTAAACAGAAATGTTCCATATTAACAAAAACAAAATGTTTCGCACACACACACACACACACACACACACACACACACACACACTTACAACACCAACAAACGTACATGAACATACATATTAGGGTTCCAAGCGGAGAAGATTTTTCCAAACCGCAACCGCCGGCATCCGCACTGCTCATTATCCACATCCGTACCGCATCCTAAGTTTTAATCTCACGTTTAAAATTAGAAATTGGCAATACAAAAGAGCAATTTATTTACAATATAATTATGATCAGAGGAATTATAAGAGAAGAACAATTCTTACATTACTCTTCTTACATTACGTTTCATACATCACCGATCACATTACATTCTTTAGTCTTTCTTCATAATTACTTTACATAATTTTGTTGAATTGCCTTATATTCGTTATGAAATAACATTCAGTAATTTTGAAACAAAGATGTTGTACAATGCACTTGTAGCTTTTTTTTAATTTTTCATAAATTTATGACGAAGACAACTAACGCCTACAACATGTTTGAAGATAAAATGTTTTTTTTTCAATTTTCTTCAGGCGTATTTTGAGCTATCTGATGCTTTTCTTCAAACAATGGTTCTTATTTGTTTATGACAAGCACAAACGCACACGCACGTATTTAGTTACACATACACAAATACACACTCCTGTCGCACCAAGCACGCACACGCGTGGACACACACGCGCAAACACACGCGTATTTTTACTTTGTGGAACGATAATTAATAAATATTTGTGAAATTAAACTAATTTATTTGCGATGTTTTCTATTTTAAAGTTATTATTGATAGATTTTTAAATAAATGTTTTTTTTCTTATAACTTTTTTTATTATTTTTAACGATACAAAATAACATTTAAAATTTTTGAAGCTCTCACAAGTACAACTTCAAACTATTAAAAATGCGTACTAAAAACTAAAAACTGACCTCACATAAGCTGGACGTGGACGGCTATTCAAATGATTGTAGGTAGAAACATGATGGAAGCCACAGCCAGACATTTTACGACATGTCAGAGAAATAAATGTTCACAAAATAATGACTGGCTAATAAAATATTGGTCTTGGTTGATGCTGGAAACCAAATGACAACGTGATTTGAATGTGACAAAAAAATTTCAAACTTGTGACAAGTTTGATCGATTTTATTAAAAAATTGTCTTAAGTACATCTTTCATATTAAACAACTCAACTTCGTCTACAGTTACCAAACCATGAGTGAAAAAAGGCATTGCCAAGACAAGTGTGATTTTTATGAGTTGTTTTTTGCATCTGTATGTGTGTACGTATGCGTGTGATTATATTTTTTTGCGTTTCCAATTGACTTGATTCTATGTGTGAATGTGTGTTTAGAAATATGTGTAGAAAAAAATTTGTGTGTTTACAAGTTGGTATGTTTAGTGTGTATGCAAGTTTGTTGTACAGACAGACATGCGTACAATCCCAATCATCATGCGTGCGTGTGCGCAAAACTTTCTGTTTATTGATCCATGCAGCCATTTGTCGTGTGCACGCATACATTTTACGTAGATTAGTGTCTTCGTCAGTCAACTCGCATTATCACAACGTGTTTATATGCGACAATATGGGAATGAGTATTATATATATATATATATATATATATATATATATATATATATATATATATATATATATATATATGGGTGCGTGTATATATATGTGGGTATATGTTTGGTGTGTGTGTTTGTGGTTTGTGTTTACATTTGTTGCTGTGTTAGTATCTAGCAAGTATTTAGTGATTTTCAACTTGATGGCTTCAAATATTTTAATAATTGTTGAATAATGTTTTTCTTTTTTCTCATGTTTTTGTTTTTTTGTTGTGATTCTATAAACAAGAAATTATTAGTTTATTTAAGAATTTAAAAGATTAGAAATGATAATTAGCTGATTCTCTAAAAAATTGTTTATGTTTCAGATAACATAATCAACAATAGTTTTGATTATGAGATGTATAAAATACTGAATACTTAAAAATATGTTTCAACTGCAAAAATTAACGCTTTGATATTTGGAAAATATATACTGGCAAATTGTTATCAAAACCATTTATATTTGATTTTTGTAAACTTTAACGAATCAACAGTCCTTACTGCAAGTCTATTTTATCATTTTTTTGTTTGGTTTTTAATTTCTACATACACGTAATACTGTAGATAAATTTTTAAACGAAGTGATCACTGAAGTTAAAATTGATCGCGTGTTTTGTTTGGAAGATTGCGGGTTCTTCCATTTAATTATTTATGGCATGTTTTCCGCCGGTTATCTTGCACTTGATTCCCACGTGCACCTGCATTGGACAGATGAATTACCATGAAAAAATTTTTGACAAACTTCATTTTTCTGTAAAATTATTTCATGAAACAAATTGCTTTAAAAACGTTGAACATTCGCGTTATGAATAATGAAATAATTGGTGAATAAATAGACGTTGTGACTCACTCATTTTACTCAAACACTCACTCCTCTAAAATATTCCTTCTTTTCATTTGTTTGAAATATTTGTTGTTCGGGTGGGCCTACATTTTTATAGATGTTAAGCTGGTTCTTTTATTTTGTCGCAGACGTGGATATGCAGGAGGACAGGAGGATGATGCAGCTGGCAAACGTGAACATCTGCACCTCCACACGACACCCCACTGCACATCAATTAGGGCAGTTGGCGTGTTTTTGCGCTTTTGTCTCGATTGGCAGCCTCAGTCTGTCCATTTGAAAAAATATCCGGAGATTTTAAACAAAATAATTTTTTATTAATCATTTCTTTATAATTTGGGCAATTTATAAAATGATATCAATATTGAATCACTAAATGTTATACTTCACTACACCTTGCCATACTTAAAGTCAATATTTTAAAAAAATTTGAAGAAAAACAATCAATTTTTTAGAGAACCAGCTTTGATAAATTGCATGATTTAGAGGTTTTGGAATTACAATATACGATGCAATTTACGATAACAAGGAAAGTCGTACAGTGCCATTCGCCTGTTGTATGAAACGACACATGTTCTTTCATTGTTGACGTCATTTTCATGTTTGTAATATTTTGCTTGGTGTCGACATCATACGCAGTTAACAACTGCTGCTGTTGTGTTATCGAAATTAATTCATCTATTCAATTCCAACTGAATATTCTCTACTACTATCCACAAGAAATATTTTTGAATTTTTCAAAAAAGAAAAAAGTCCAAATATATCTCAATCATAGGTAGGTATTTGAAGAAGGGGTCAATAATTAGCCCAGAAAATTTTTCTAAAAAAGTTTTTTTTATTCCTCTATGTTTTATTCATGATTCAACATTAAATTAAAATTTTTCAAAGGGCGAAAATCAAATATAATGGTTTTTATTTGAGAAGAATTTCAAGCAATTTTATACAATTCGCACAAAAAAATATTAAAAAGATATCGGTAATAACAATTTTTCTTGATAATATGCTTAAGGAAAGCTAAATTGATTTGAAATTGTGTGAACATGAAAAATGTTGAATTGTCTGTAATAATAGAATTAGTCGGTCGAAACAATTGCTCTAGTTGGTACGGCAAGAAACAAGATGTGATCGTCATCAATCAGTTGGGCATTATTATGAAAGAAATTTTTATTTTTATAAAAAATAGTAATTTTTTTAATGAGTCTAACTTTAAATTAATATTTTTCGTAAGAAAGTTTCATTCAGGAATGATGACAACGTTACCGGCGGTAACACTCAAACATGGAAATAAAAGCATCGGCATTAGTCACACACAGAAAGGAAAGTAGTCCGTATGAATGTATAACCCATGGATATAACCTGATTTCAGCGACAATGCGTTTATGCAACTGACGTTCAGAAACAAAAATCTGTAAATAAATACTTAAATAAAAATGCGTGTGCAATGTGTGTTTTTACGTATGCTAGGTACATAAAAAGGGGTGAGTATTTGTTTGTGTGTTTGGTGTGCACTTGACTGTGCGCACACAGGCATTCAGCGCATATTCATCCATCATTCCCGGTCGCCCTCCTTCATTAGCACGTACACACACGCTCTCATGGCCCGCAAATTATCACGCATCGTGTCTACGCACGCTCGTGTTGGACGCTGGCACAATGCTTTCCTGGGCGAGTTCCTCTGAAAATAAATAACACGAACGGATATAAATCGGTGTTTGATTTGAATTTAATTATTTTTTTTCTTTTTGAATAAAGAGATTTATGTGGACTGTGTAAAATGAAACATAACATTACAGTAGCATTCATTTATTTTTCATCCGACCATTCATCATGTCGTCCATTCATTCGTTCGTTTATTCATTCTTTCATTCATTAATTCATCCATTTATTTATTTATTCATTAATTAATTAATTAATTCATTCATTCATTCATTCATTCATTCATTCATTCACTCACTCACTCACTCACTCACTCACTCACTCACTCACTCACTCATTCATTCATTCATTCATACATTCATTCATTCATTCATTTATTCATTCATTCATTCATTCATTCATTTACATAATCAATCACCTACTTTCTTAAATATTTATTTAACCATTCATCTGAATACGAATTTAATCATCTGTGAGTTCATCAGACTTTTCGTAATAGCACTTCCCCTGTTCGATCCATCCATTTAATCATTCACTCATATATCTATCCATTAATCTGAATTTAAATTGAAATGTTAAAAATCAAATCATCATTACTTAATTGATCAACAGATTGAAATTTAATAACCAAATTAACAACAAAAACTCATTGCATTTGGATAAACTTTCTGAATGAAATTTATTATTACCAGTTCCTATTGCTGGAAACATGACGTGAGTGAAACCTAAGATGCCATCAACATCGTGATTAAAACAAAAACTTATTCTCACACAAGTACTCATACAATTCACGTTATTTTGTATGGTATTTATTTCTTTGTTAGACTTGGTACTGCACGATAGTGTAATGTATCTGTATTGTATGTTATTGTAATGTATTTGTTTTGTATTGTATGTTATTGTAATGTATTTGTAATGTATTGTATGTTATTGTAATGTATTTGTATTTTATGTCATTGTATTGTATTTGTATTGTATTGTATGTTATTGTAATGTATTTGTATTGTATTGTATTGTAATGGTATTATATTTAAGTTTATTGTATTGTAATGTCTTGTGTTATTCACATTGTGATCTTATGTATAGCATTTCAGATCAGATGTAGGTCCTTGGATCGTTTGTTTCTTTCGTGCTTCTCCGTTTCCATGCGCGGGCAGTCGAGTGTTTGTCTTCCTTTTTGTTCACTCTTCTCTCGTCTTCTAACATTCCTTCTAGATTGACTGTCACACTGAAATTTATTTTAAAAAAGATTCAACCGAATTTTTTAATTTCAGTTCAAACATTACATCACCAGATTATTTCGCTAACATTTTGGAAATAATCATCTCTTTAATATTGTTGAACAGAAAAAAAATGTCAAGCTTAATAAAACTTATGACATGAATTGTTTATATTAATGCTCGTATTTGATTTTATGTTCAACATAATTAAATTATGGTTAGGGTTGAAGTTAGCAAATTGTGTTCTGATCACAAGAATCTTTAAAAAAAGTTTTTTTTAAAGTTAACTTTTACAAAACAATTAACATTATGCGTTAAACTCGCAAAACCTAGCAAATTGTTAAATACATTTTATCTATGGATGTGTATGGGTGTGTTTGTGTGTGTTTGTATGTGTACGTGATGTGCGAGTGATGATTGAGGTAATGTGCGTTCTTCTGCAGTGTTTGAGAATGTAAGTTGTAAAAATATTTCTATACGCACTGCTCTTTAATTGTCGTTTTACAGTACATGGCGAACACAATTCCAAACACAGTTCTACATAAGGTTCATGCGTTAATATTATTTCATGGCAAAACTTCCCGCATTTTTTTGAATTTATTTGTCTACCTTTTGTCTTCCTATTACATGCGCACAGAGATTATAAAAATGCCTTGAAAAGTTCATCAGAGCAGACATTTAAACTTGAACCAACCAGTCAGCGTTGCAAAAAATTTCGTCCGGATGAATAATGAATGCAATTACGAGAGCTACCAACTCACTGTCGTACGAGGTCACATCCGCTTGTTTTTTTTTCTACTCAATCATGTTGTGTTGTGTTAAGTTGTGTTCTACTTGCATTTTATTGAATAATATTGCATTGGTATGGCAAAGTGTTGTTTTTCGTTGCATTGCACATTATCATAACGTAAAGTGTTGTTTTATTTCTTTTGTTCATATCGTTGTAACACTTAAACGCTCGTTCATATCGTTATAACACTTACCATCACCGATGTTACAACTTTAAACGATCTCTATAATTCCAACACCAGTGAAGTTATCGTTATTCCGTATGTTCAAGATTTCTGATAGATGAACCCAACTGCTTCAAACGCAAACTTGGTTAGGGTTTTTCGTTGTTTTCGAGTGCCAACAGTAATTGAAACACTAAACTAATCCAGGTAACTACACAAATCAGCAATTACTTCTTACTCATCACTGCTGAAATCTTCGCATGGTGCTGTTGTTGTTGCTCTGGTTGCATTTGTAGGAATGCGTACATCGGGGAAAGCCATGTTTTTGAACACCATTGCATGTGAGCATGCATCCCACCATTGCATGTGAGCATGCATCCCACCATTGCATGTGAGCATGTCCAATGTTTCAGTGGCTGATTCAAAAGTGCTAACATCATAGTATGGCTTTAAACCATAATGTTCATATAAATCCATCTTATACTTTATAGTTTAGAACAAAATCTGCCCACGCAAATTTTGTTTAGAAGTCGTGAGACGTGGTCCATATTTTTTTCAGACTTGTAAGATTACTTGCTTTCCTGTCTGCTCAAGATGACTCACTCTGGCTGACTGCCATTTCTGTTTTCAAATAATTTTTAATTTGAACAAATTTTTGTAAAAATGTTTTTTTTTGTTATTTAAGGACGACTAAACATTCAAATGATTGGTGGTGAATAATTATTGATTCGGAAGTTTCTATTGCGAGTACTGTTAATGTTAACATTTCAATAATGTTCCAGCTACGCGTATGCGAGCAGTTTGGTGACAAATTTAAAAATTGCAAGTTTGGTCGATTGGAATGTTGCAGTGTACTGATTTGCGGCTTCAATAAACGTTCCAATGTACGTGGCAATACATCATCAGTGGTTCTCGGCGCATGGTTCGAGCTGACCAACCGACACAACATGATTCAGCGTCGTAAGAATATTCTCAAATGTTTCGTCAATGCGCTTGTTAATTCTTGCCTACCAAAATTTCAAAATGTGGTCAGAATTAAATTATTTATGTGGTAAGACTAAATCAAAAACTTGTTATAAGAAATATCAACCACATTAAGATAGTCAAAACAACCAAACCATCTCGGACCGTAACACCAATTAAAAATTATGCACAACGGTGCTAACATGTACAACATACAAAGAGATATACAAATTTATGAATACATATACAACCATACAACCACACATTCACATACACACAAACACACACCCACAAACACACACACACACACACAGCCATGAATGAAGGTAGTCGACGGGAGCCCGAATAACAATGTAATAATATAAGAGAGGCAGAAATTTATACGATGCTGGAGGAACATCATTCAGCCAAAGTTCATGTTTTTCTTTCATTCGAGAATGCAGCGGCCACCAGCCCTGCATCCAAACACCAACCTTCTCTCCCTACTTTCTCAAATTATTTGCATAAACATCAACCACCATTCCTTAAAAATGTTCCCATGTGCTTTCAACACGCGTTGGCTTTAAGGTTTGGGTCTTTCTGATTCTCACCTTTTGCTATATGTAGCTTGTTTGAATGGGATAGTGTATTTCCATGAGTAATCGTCACATGCTTGTGTGCGTGAGTTTGAGTGTGTCTCTATTTGACTGTTGCTTGCACGCTTATGTTTTTATTTATTCTTCGTCAGTCTATGTTTTTATGCGTGAGAACGTCTGCACGTGATGGAGTTGGTGTTTTTTCCGTGTTTGCAGGAACTTGGGAGCTTGTTTGATTACATTTGGATAATCGCATCGAATGCATTTGTTCACGCGAGTATGTTCAATCGTTTGTACGCTAGTGGATGTACACAACTGTACATGGCACCATACGTGCATATATATGGGCTGAGTGTACTTATTTCATGAGCTTTTTAGGTATATACAATTAAGACACAACACATACATACTTTAGTACTATATGCATGTATGTGTGTATACATTAATGTATTTATTCGAATGTTTCCTACTTAAATCTGGTTTTGCCTGTGCATGCATTTAACCACATCATGTACACACATACACATCTGCACTGTGCGTACACAATTGTTGTACATCAGTGGTTTTTGAGGTGAATGTGAACAAATGCTCAAAGGCATAAAGAAGCTGTCGGATGACGTCGTTAACGCGAGGGGTTTTATCCAATACGTTCTTATTTATATATTGTTTTGTGTTTTCTCTGTTGTTATTTTTTGTTTTGTTTGTATTGTTCTGTGTTTTCCTTTGGTAATATTCTACATTTTTTGGCTACGTATGTGGTCTTCCATTGGCCTATATAGGTTCCTATGTGTTTTGTTATTATTAGCGTTATAACTTTTTTGTGTTGTTTGTCCTGTGTTTTTTAGGACGTGCGGTTTTGTAATGATCTCTATTGCTCTGTAAAGTTCTGCGTTGTTTGTAATGTATTTATGTATGTGTATATTGTATGCATTTAAATATATGCATATATCAATAAATAAATAATTAAACACTTTCAGACGTATATTTCATGTGTAATGTATAAATTTTCAGTTACATGATAACCCCGAGTAGGAAAAATTTAAATTGAGTTCCTCAATGAAAAAATGAAATGCTCTAACACCCTCTTTTTCATCGTCTACTGATAAGCAATTGTAATTCGGTTAGCTCTGTGAGTTTTTTTTATTGACTTATTAAAATATGTGAGTTTAATTAATGTTAGATATGATCAAACAAAAAAGTAATTTATTAATTTTTCTTAAATTAATTTATAGTATTAAAATAATTCATCATCATCTCAATGCTTCATACCATTTTTATTTAACAACAAAAATTTGTGCTTCAATGAGAACAACATTCCGATCTTTTCTCTTCTCTGACATCCAGCGAATGCATTAATTATATGAAATTGAATATTTATAAAATGGATGCTCGTAACTTGAATTATTGTATTTTTATTGGGCAAATACAATAAATATTTTTAAAATATTCCTCCAAACTTTTTTCAAAATATTTCTCAAAACTTTAATTTCCCCAAGCACAGTGCAACACCAAATCTTCACATTCACAAACATTGCTATCTATTTGCACACTCTTACATTACTGCAACTCAGCTTATAAAACAAATTCACGCAGGCTAACAATGGTTAAATGCTGATGTGGTGTGATATAAATATGTTCAACAACAATCTCTTGCATGGCTCGTGTCGTGTTCTGCAGTGTTTTGTTGTTTTGTGTTACGTTCAAGGAATACTTTTTTTGACTAGTTAACAAGAAAGTATATTTAGAATTTTTATTAAAAAATGGAGAAATATCCATGTTGATGTATATTCTGAGAGGCCTTATAATTTTGAACGATGTTTATGAGTTGCTGTTACTCTCTAGTCTTCATAATTAACATTCAGAGCATATTCATTGCAGTCACCTCCGCTGAAACACCTTCGACATTCCCAACGACATACTTCGATGTCAACGTCAACATTGGCAACAACAACAACAACAACGTTAACACGAACACGAATACAACTGCACAAAATGCATCAACAACAATAACGACAGAAACTTCACAAAACAGCACAACATATCCCACATCATCAGCAAACACGACGACGACGATGACAACAAAAACAATCAACATCTTACCGTCTACAGCAAATGTTCGTCAACCAGGTTTCCTGGCACATTTGAAAACATTTTTTCAGTTAAATTAAAAGTTAATGCGTATAAACTTTTTACTCCGTTTCAAACTTACAACAAAATGGTATTATATGAAAAAATGTAATGAGAAAATATTTGCTCGCTAGATCCTGCTGCTGACATCAAGTGCCTGCCTATAAACACGACCTCATCAGACGCGCTGACCATCAACACGACCAGCACGAACGCAGGGACGGTGGTGCAGGCAACTTGCGCCTCTTCCCACAGATTGTTCTCCATCAAGGATCCCAACCTGCGGACTGCCACGTTCCTGTGTGATGGTGGGCTCTGGAGTCCTTACACGCCGAGGTGTTTGCGTAAGTTTTTTTTTTAATTATAATAATAATAACTATTATGTATACTACATTGATCGATTACTTTTATTATTTGGTTGTTTTTTATTATTGTTATCATAGTTATATATAAAATATTTTGTTGTAAGCTAGCTTCATACAATGTTAGACTTGACTTACCCTCTAATCGCATTCTTCCCGTTTCAAGTTTTACTTGGAAGCAGTAGCCGCTGAATACCTCATGCATTTGATGCAATGCTTCCAGGTCGGATCAACCATAATTTCAAATGCTAATGTTCAATTCCTATACGGTCCACGGTCTATTTTCAATACTTCATACAATTTGAACCCACCATGTCATTTATGTAAAAATAAACGAAATTTTCCGAAAGTTAATTCCAATCATCTCTTCCACTCAAACGGATTAAAACTTAAACGTTTCCACACTTAAATTTTGATATTTAAAACATAATTCAATATCATCGTCAGCCGTGAGCACGGACGGCAGCAACACAACCGCCATAATAATCGGCAGTGTGTTTGGAGCAGTGATTGGAGTGGCCATCATCGTCGGCGCACTCATTCTTTTCAGGAAGATGAGGAAGGATAGGAAGCTGATGTACGAAAAGCAGGAGGAATACAACAACAAGCTCTCCAGGATCAAGTATACGTTTCTGTTTCTCGTTATGGTTGTCAACATTTGCTGCAGGGAATTTAAAAAAAACGCGCGAAAAACAATTTGAAAATGATAATTCGTCAAAACATTAAAAAAATTATAATTGAAATTTGTACAGCGAGTTTGTGATGTCGACGTTTGACGATTCTGTTGGCATGCCACCTGTCACAGTGGAGACGAGATGGAGTGATATGAGGGGAGTGCCCATGGATTTCATGCAAGACAAGTATTCTCACTTTTATACTTTGCTTTTATGTAGTTTTTTCTTCATAAAAGTCTTTATAAGTATTTTTTCATAAAATGTAATAATTTTTTATAAAGTGTTTAGCATTGGTTTAAAAGAAATAAATAACATATTAGAATGGATTAATTATTCTACTTTAACAAAATAAATTTTCAGATTTGATGTAGCTTCTTCGACATCATCATCTCTACCTGAAGTGGAGGAGAAAACGTTACATCTTTACTAATTACCACATTACATCTTTACTAATCACCATAGTACATTTTTACCATTACCTTATTACATCTTTACCATTACCACATTACATTCTCATTATCACCACTGGATGTTTTTACTTACAACTGGGCTCTATTATCACATCCATTTAGAGTTAGGTTTTAATGAAAAAAAAGTATTCAACTTATTTTCTGAAGTTCTAGTATTGCAAAGACAATTTATTTATCTGTTTGCTTCAAAATAAAAAATAGAAAAATGTGTTCAACTATTAAAAAAATTAATATTGTATTTTATGAAAATTAATTTAATTAATGTTTCAAATCACATAAATGTGTTTCAACTATAAAAAATTAATATTGCATTTTATGAAAATTGATTTAATTAAAGTTTCAAACCATGAATTTTTTTGATAAGAGGCGTTTTTCTACAAACTCTAACGTATTGTTGTAACAAAAAATTACCTTTGCATGGCTAAACAGGTTGTCGCAAAAGTTTGAATCTCTTTGTTAATGGATAATGCATAAGAAAGATGAACATAGTTCAATATGAAAACATACATACATATATATGAAATTTAAATTTTTGTGTGTGTAATGTGTGTGTGTGTGTGTGTGAGCGTGTGATGTATGTGTGTGGAGTATGTGTGTGCGTGTGTTTCTACTAAACAATTTTACCATGCAGTCAATATTTTTCAAACGTTATGTTTCGACAGGATGTTTTTAGTAGAGAAACAAAATACATTAAGTTATGTTGTAAACTTTAACAAAATAAATAATAAAAAGCACATACACTTTATGTTTAAAATTCAACTTTATTTTACTGAAATTTTAGGTTAATAGTATAATAGCAGAACGATAGAGTTACAATAAAAATATATAAAAATCTTAGTCATCAGTGATCGGCCATGCTAAAGGAAAAGTAGAATAATGATGAAGATGATGATGATTTGACGATGATGTGATGATAATGATGTGATAACGATGATGATGATAATAATAATATAGGTGATGATAACGATGATGACGATGACGAAAGTTTAAAAATAAATACAAAATAAAAAGTTGACAGCTCCAATTACTTGTTTAAAGTAATTGTAATTAAACATTTTCATTCATCTTCATGAATTTAATGGTTTTACCAGTCAAACAACACTTCAAATTCCTTCAAAAAAGCCAAAATATAATTTTATATTTTGTTCAAAATAAATAGTGCCTCGATAGTATGGTTAGTTAATTAAGTTTTTAACGTCTTGAATGTACTTTATATATATATATATATATATATATATATATATATATATATATATATATATATATAATTATGATATAGTTAACATCTTGATTCAACTTCGATTTATAATTTATTATTGACACTAGGCATAAGGCGATGAACATACAGCTTATTGTTGATGATATATTGCATTGAGTATTCGAGAGTGAAAATAAATGGGGGAACAAATTTGAGTAAAAAGTAAGTATCATTATTCATCAATGTTATATAGGTTTTATTCATTTTTTTCAATATAATTTTTTTAGCATCAAACCCAAGTTGCACATTACACAAAATTTCTGTTACCCAACTTCATACATAAACAAGAGAGAGTAATAGAAAAATAACATAGACAGACAGACAGACAGACGGACGGGCAAAAATAGAATGACAAAGAAAGAGAGACAGAGAGAAAAACCGAGACAGACAGAAAGAGAGAGAAAGAATTAAAAAAAAACAGGAATGTGAAAAAGCACGTACCAGCACAGGTAAATTATTATCAATAATAATAAGAGACTTGCTATCCGTACTCTGTAGTGCCTAATTACAAATATTATTTCTTTAATTAATACTAATATGACTTAAACTTCAAAACTTCAATGATACATTTTTATACAAAAATATACACAACTTGAAGCTGCAAGCAAGACGCTATCCACACAAGGTACGTACAAGTACACACACACACACACAAACCCACACACACACACACACCAAACACGAATTATAGGAAATTTGTACTTATATTAGAACAAATTACACATAATTTAATAAATTAATATGTAATATATAAAATGTATGTATTAATTTGTTATAAATCATTATGCAATGGATTTATTCGATTAATTTGAATTCTGATATAGTTTGTGTATATATTTTAAAATGGTAATCAAAAAATATAAAGGTAGACATTGTAATACTTGTATATACTTATATATAAAAAACGAATAGAAAGAGGGAGAGATATATAATACAGTTAAGGAAAAATGAATTTATATACAAAAAATGATGATAAATACCTACAGCATTGTTGTTAATGAAAATTTTGTTTATTATCATCGACACCATAGAGAATCGGAAATGCAAACGAACGGTCCCATCATTCCATTATAATAATTATATTTAGAGACTAATACTGCTACATTTTTTAAGTAGAGACGCACACATCAATATTGTCACAACAATATATTTATATAATGTAATGTAACGCAACGTAATGTAAGGTAACATCATGTCGTGTCAGAAAAAATTAATGTCATACGTGACATGTCATGACGAGCCAGTGGTCGTGCAACACAGCAATGAATAAAATGCAGTCCATTCAACCTTGCTTAATATCCGATTTCTTTCAAAAAAACGTGCACACAGACACACACTAACACACACACACACAGAGACACACACACACACACACACACATATATATATATATATATATATATATATATATATATATATACAAGTGTCTGGTTCGGGTATGCATATATATTTTGTTGGAAGAAGACCACATTTTATGCAGTATTGTATGAATTCTAGCGAATTGTTGGCATTAATCAATTAAAAGTTTATGTTTTCAATTTTTCTTACTAGAATTTTCTAAAATATTTCAATTTATTGAAAATAGAAATATTATCCAAGTTCATCATGAAAATTTAATAAAACTGTTGCTTTTCATAAATTATCTTCAGTGCAGGTTTGGCATTTATAAGTATTGAGTCTTTTGTCTTGAGTTTTGTTGAGTTCATATTTGATGGTACCAGCCTTTTCGCATCTGTTCCAACCTGCGCTGAAGATGGTTTGTGAAAAATTGAAATAAGCTATTACGAATTTGGATAACAACGGTTTTATGAAATTTCCATTATGAACTTAGATTATAACTTTATTTTCAATAATTTCCAGAAAATTTTAGTAAAGAAAATTGAAAAAACAAACTTTAAATAGATTAATGCCAACAATTCTGTAGAATTTATACAATACTGAAGTACATGAATATATATATATATATATATATATTTTTACAATATTCTATAAATTCTACCGAATGTTTGGCGTTAATATGTTAACGCCAAACATTCGGTAGAATTTATAGAATATTGTAAAAATTATGGTCTATTACCAACACACACACACACACACACATACATATATATATATATATATATATATATATATATATATTATTTATTTAGATTTACAACAATTTATATTAAACCACAGTAAAATATATAAATACACAATATGAATTAATTTATAAAATTGTTATATTTTGACACTTTTGTTAATACTAAAATAACAATAAACTTTAATTTTAATCAATCTATCTATATGTACTTGTGTACGACTTGCACATGAAACAAATAATAATGACGATTCTGCTGAATGAGTATTAATAATAGTGATGAGAACACATAACATTTCCATTTTTTTGTATTTTAATATTTTAAAGTTTATTGAGATTAAAATTATCAACAAATTTTTACAAATATCATTAAATTGAAATTTTTCTGAAGGCAATCCTACCAGTGAACAGCTCGAATTAACACTTAACTTTAAATTTGTAACTTTTAAAATTTTGATAAACTAAATGCTGTTTATTAAATAGATTAATTTGGACTATTTAATGTAGATATAAATTTGCAGGTTGCTAACAGACATTTAAGGCGTGCAGATGACAGAAAAACCTGCATTTGCACAAGAAAGCGACCTTTAATTTCACCAGACTCTCATCATAACATTTTCTTACTTTTATTATTATTCAAAAATTGTGATTAGGAGTTATTAAAATGATGTTATCACAAATTATAAACAAACACCAAAACGACTTGCAAATATAACCAGAGAGTATAGTATGCAGACATTAGCATTAAGTGCCATTTGGTTGAACATGAGCTGCCGACGCTGGCATGGTTGGAGGAAAAGATGCCAGGTTGAGAATGTTGCAGAGCATGAGAGAAGAATGAGGAGCTTTCAATTCTTCAATTATTACATTCCCTGCATTTTCTTTACTCAGATCTCCTCCGTATCCTTTAACGAAAGCTCCGATAATTAGTTTACCGTCGGTTGTCAGTCCACCGCGAATCGAATAAGATTCTATTTTTTCGGCTAACTCGATTTCCTTTGTATATTTCATTTTTGTAAATTTTTCCGAGGTGCGTTCTTCATTTTTAGCCTTGATAAGAATTCTATTTTCCTTAATGACCTGTACTGTTATATCATTTGGCTTGAACATATTACCAACATCAACTGTCAGATGCATTCGTCGCTGGCCATCATCATCTTGAATGAAAACAGGAACTCCAATTTTTGCTGGCTGCTCTCGATGTGGTGTGGACGGAGGTGTGTTTTGTGGTGGAGATTTAGAACGAGATGATGCTCTAGAACCTTGAAAAGAATGGGACGGACTTGGACCAGTCTTTTTTTGAAGGTTTAAAGTTTTAGGATGTAGTAAAGCCTCTAAAATCAACACGTTATCAGATGTTATTCGAGATTTCAGTTTATGAGGATCAATTTCTTTCGGCTTAGCTATATGTCGCCAATATTTTTTAGTCTTATTTTCATCATTTTTCTTATATGCAATGACAGATATCTTTTCCATATCAGCCATCACTTTGACTGTTCCAACATCAAAATCAGATAAATCAAATCTCAATCTGAATCTTCTTTCTGAATCTGGAGTTTCAGTTATCATAGTTTTCATTTTTTTTATGTCTAATATCTCAATGCTTCCCTTTCGTTTAACAACGAATGGATCAGAACCAAGTTCGTTAACAGTTCCACAATGAAGCTTCAAGAATTCTTCTTTCATTTTCTCCATCTCTCTCTCCCATTCTCGTTTTTTTCTTTTAAGATCTTGTTCAGCTTGACGCTCCATTTCCTTGATACACTTAGTTTGCCTATTCTCAAAGGTCATGCTGTCGTGTATCAGAGGGATGGGGATAGCCTCAGAGGAACTGAGAGATCCCGTCATCCCGCTGGTTGCCGACATAGATGAAGGCAAACTTGTCTTCTTGTTGGACGCCACTTTGATGCGATGTTATGTCAACGGTATAAACAATTTAGTTATCTCGCACAAAAAGTTGAAGTGCTCTTTGAACGAGAGCTGATTCAATAACTATTTGATCTGAAAAAAATATGTACGAACGTGTTAAAATCAAGCATGCATTTGAATAAAGCAATAACGTTTAAATTAAGCACACCTCCACTCATATTATATGTAACAAAACAATAAAATTTTAATTAGAACCAATCATCACATTTTGATAAGCGGTAAGCATAATCTCAACATTGTATATTTTCGAATACTTGTAAAAACAAAAAACTTAATAATTTTGTAAGATAAAATCGAATGATTCAATGGTCAAATCACTTGAATACTTACTACATGTTACAAATAGACGAAATAACTGATAAATCGCAGTAGAGTTTCTAAAAATTAATTCGGCTGTAAAAATGCAGAACTATGTTTTAAAATTCATTTCAACAACTATTATAACGTAAACTGACCTTGTAAAATGAAAAAAGAAAAATCCTGAATATTTAGGTTTTCGACAAATGAACCAACACAAACGCACGTTGTTGACATGTATGCGATTGCTTTGTACGCACAGGCTCATACACAAACATGCATTCATATAATCAGACAGCCTGCTCTGCAGAGGCAGAACAGCTTTCCTACGCACGCACTTACACACACGAAAACACACGTGTTACATTGGAAAGCATCGCTTAGGCGAACGATAGTAGTGCCTTGAAATAAATTATGCTGGATACATTACATTCGCCGATCGCTTCAGGCCAATACCAGTTTAATTAAGTTTTGCATACACGAATATTAACACGTTGAAAAAGTTGATCTATTTATTATAAAATTAAAAAAAACTACTTTAAATTTTTCAAAAACTTGAACATAAAATTTAATACATTTTTCAAGCTGTCAGTCACATAAAAAAATCTAGTAGAGTTTTGTGTGCCAACGTGTATGTGCCTTGAGATGAGCTTTTTTGAGGTAGATCTTGTCACATCCAGCCACGAGGCATGAGAAAGGTCCTTGCGAGGTCGTCATGTCTGTTCTACCGCTACGAGTCCCTTTAGCGAATTGTTGTCTGCTTAAATTGAGAATTTTCGGCGAAAAATTACCAAAGAAAGCGTTGACCGTCGAAAAATTGTTAACCTTTTCTTTCGTATCAATATATTCCCTTGTGTATTCGTTGAATTCTTCTGTATTTTGAAAGTTTTTAATATCCTTACCTACCGAAAAATCATTACAATTCATCCTCTCAACATTGGAACACTCATTTGTCAAAATATTGTTGAAACAGGGAACATCATCCTGATAACATCCATTAATCGTTTCATAGGACAGTTTTTCGGGACTGTTAACATTTTCCTGGAAAGTTCGAAGCCCGCAGTGATCATTATTATTAATTAAACTCATTTTATTTTTCAAATCCTTGTATAAAAAAATACGTAAAGCGAGACGATAAAATTGATTCATTCATGTATATATATATATACACACACGCACGAGTTTGCACATTTGCACAATGGAACATCAGCAGACGGCAAATGCACTACCGGTTCGCATCAATTATCTGTAGTGTAATTTGAATTTCATTAAACATGCAAATAAAGATGTCTGGCATCGGCGTCATCATAGCAGAGAGGCGAACATGATAGGTGGGACACCTGTTGCTACGTTCATTATTCCTTCAAAGAGACACGCAGCATACGGTGGCGTTCTTCACAGGACGTATCTTGTGAACCCGCATCAAATAAAACGCTATTTATATATTGTAATAAATTAGTCGGCGATTCGAATGAGGCATCTGAAAAAATTAATTCGTCTGGCACCGAGGTCCCAAACAGTTGCAACAACGACACAATAACACTGAAATAAATGAAAACATTTAAAACTAATTTTCATTTGCACAATGAAACATTTTGAAATGTTACGCAAATGCTTCAAACGGGACCGATACCTACCATCGAATTACTGTAATAAAAAAGCATACCGACTGCCGGTTTCCAGGCAGAAGAATCCACAATGACGTAAATGAAGTGGAAAAATTCTTCAACAATTAAATACTTTAATGTCTATCGATAATATGACAGTTAGAAACGTTAAAGTCTATTGTATAGAAATAATGAAGCAGTAAATGCGTAGTTCCCTAAATATCTTGCACAAAATATACTAATATACTTTGATACTTGAATTTATCGATGGAACACAAACTACCACTACTTAATTAATTTCAATTAACGTATCATCTTGTTGACTGCAATACCAACAATGAAACAAGAAATACTATGTATGTGTACGCTGTAAACAGTGTATATGTATATATAATTTTAATATATAAACTCACATGTGTATGTAACAAACACAAGCATGGACCGCACATATTAAATGTGTGTATAACAGAACAAACACATACACACATATGCACACATACATACAAACACACGGATAAGTGCGTGTATGATCGGTGAGTGAGCATTTGTTCAAATGTATGCCATTCAAAGCATCTTTTATAAATGTCGTAGCTACACGAAAAATAAATGACAGAATTGAATGACTGGTCGCAGTGACATATATTCCAAATATCACAAGATGTTTAATAATTCTATTGATCTAACGACGAAAACTTATAAACTACTAAAATTTCATCCAATCTTCTCATGCAAAAGAAAGCGATTAACTCTGCAGTTACAGGTAGAAAAATAATGAAAGCGCTATTCCAACAAATGAAAGATAAATTTTTCAGCTTATGCTTTCTTGTGCCACTTTTTGGCAAAACTCATTTCTGAACAAGTAACCAAGGCGCAAACGCTTCGTAATATCACAATTTTTATAGACTAAACACAATTGAAAAATAGTAGGAAGCAACCGCCTGGAACAAGTAAGCACTAAACTACGGACAACCAACTTCAGAAAGTTATCAAAAAGTTACCAGAAAGAGGAAATGTAATTTACCTAAAATGAAAATAAAGGAAAAATTCAACAAAAGAATATTTCCTATTCACTAACAATTCTATAAAATAATATCGCAATGCTCAAACTCATTATAATTATACAAAATTTTTTCTCGTATTAAAAAACTTGAGGTGTGAACACTACAGAAAAACTTTAGATAAGAACATTTGCTCTTAATTAGCTAGAACAACCGATCAATCGAAGACTAAACTAAAAAGTGATAACGAAACAAAGATAATAAAACTAAGAAACGTTAATAAAATTATTGCCATAAAAATGATTTTTTTTTACATGCATGTGTAAAAAATAGCGATGCATAATATTTCGTTAATTCCAAAAAACTACCTCTAAACGTGACAAGTGAGATAGATGACGATGACATTCCTTTAAACATAAACACTGAAACTATATATATATATATACATAGTTGAAACGTGTAAATGTAAATATCACTAATCTAACAATAAATACATCTATGACGACGACTTTAACGACAAAAAAATACTTTCCATAAAAACAAAATAATTAATAAAATTTCAAACAAAACGTTTACGCAAGTGAATGTAGTATGCAATTTCGTCACACAAACACACACACACACACACACGCCCTTATTGTGTGTGTGTGTGTGTGTGTGTGTGTGTGTAAAACGTGAATAAATATTTATTATACTACGTATATATAAGATTCAATTTAAAACATGAGGTGAAATAAAATCTTTTCATTAAATAATAATAAAATTTAATCAAAAATTGTAAACTTATTTAAATAATTGAGCAACGCTCCAGATTTAAGTAAATAACCATTTTAAATATTTCTATGTTCACATGTTCATTGAATAAATTTCATAACAAATGCAAGAATAGTATGTATATAACGTGTATGTGCGTTTGTTTGTTCGTGTATGTGTGTGTGTGTGTTTGTATGCCTGAGTGTGTGTTGTTGCAACGTCACATACATGTATACAAGATGCAAATTCAAAATATCATTTAAGAGTTTACGACACGACATAAACTCAATCTAATCATCTTATCCTATGAATACTGTAACATCATTTTAGTATTAAAACTATAAAATAATCAACACATTGATAAATTATATACATCTTACATACATTTAGTTAACAAAATATTTCATTTAAATTATACAACATTGCAACTTATATAGTCTAGAAGAAGGCTTATAATAGAAAATAAGCAGAGTGGAACGTGTAAAAATGTTAACGACGTTCGGTTAAAGATTTGTTGCACAATGGAAAAGAAATATCAGAATGGTTGGAGAATGATGGCGATCTTAAAATGAAAACAAAACCAACGGAATCTATATTTGTGACAGATGATGGAATGATGATGATTATAATAATAATAATAATAATAATAATAATAATAATAATAATAATAATAATAATGCAGGAAGACAAGCCAAACAAGCTGACACGAATAGAAGAAACAAATATCTAAAAAATTTTTTTAGAGAGTTAGGTAATAAAGTGAAGATGTCAGTTTTGTTGAAGAAAAAAGTAACCGTCTGAATGGGTATTGACATTGGCGTTTTGAGAAGTTGGGAATATATTTAATATATTATATAGATACTAGATATGTCGTGCTTATATATGTCTGTGTTTGTGTATTTGTGTGTGCGAGGGTGTGTCATCATTCATAACTATGCATATTCACATATACAAAAAATTGAAAACGTTTATTGTAAAAAAAATGTATTACACTAAATTATCAAGTGGAGAAATCTAAATCTAAAATTATATATTCAAACGTTTATAAAGACATTACTTATATATATATAGAAAGAGACATACATAATTATACATATATTTATATATAAATATACAATGCAGATACATGTGTTTTACTAGCAATATACACATATATTGCTACACATATCGACCTGGTTCACCACAAAACTCTTTTAAGTGTGTTTGAGCATGAAGACATGAATAAACTTTCCATTAATACAATTGGCTAGAGAGGTATGGGTAGTTAGTAGCCTCTATTTCAAATCGTAGTCTGAAGCAAACTGATTGACAATTAAAATAATAAATAGTAAACTTCTATTCAATATTAGTCAACTGGAAAAATTATTTCTATGATTGTTTTATTGATTTAATTATTTTATTCATACAAACATAAACTAATATATAATAATAATAATTATTAATATACTGATGAGCACATGCAACGAACCTGATCTTTCGAAAAGCCTGCAAACCCAAGTTCATTACTCATTGTGAGATTGGTCCCGTCTGAAAAATTGCCTTCGTCCCCTCGAATCTGACTAAAAAAAGAACTGTCGTCATCATTGGCGGGCTCAGCTGCGTGACTTTTGAACGGCGGAGGTGGCCTAGAGGGAGACACTGCTGGTGAAACCGGTCTGCCAGGAGGTGCCGGACTTTTTGGTCTTGGGGGAAGGGGAGATTTCGGACGAGGTGGGGGAGCCCCTCCTCCTGTTTTCGGCTGAGGAGGTCGTGATGGCCGAGCTGGTTTCGCACCGGGTGGTGCAAATGCTCCTTGACCAAATGGATCATCAGGCTGATGTTAAAAAATGTTATGTTTCAGTCTTAAGGTCGAATAAGCAAACAATTGAAAGTGGAAGTTAATATATCTTACATTAATTGGAGACTTTGCAAAATCACTTGTGACAAACCCAATGGAAAAAGGATCATTGGTAGCTAGAAGTTTGTAGAAGAATTTGCAGAACAAATTATAAAATAATAGAATAATTAAAACGTCAAAACTAAATAAATAAAATCAATTGACTACATCATATCTCACCACAGGTCTTAGCAAATGGAACATCAGTCCAAGGAGTTTCATCTTCAGCTTGTTTACCTTCCACCTTGTCCACCTCTTTTACGTCATCATCATTTTTAGCACATTCTTTTTCTTCAGATTCATCTACTTTATTTACAATTTTATTACAATTAAATTTCATGAGATATTCTGAACTCATACAAATGGAAGCAAAAAAATTTCCCCAAATATGCACATCTAAAAAAGAAAATAAATACTAACAATCTTCTCCAGATTGAATGGCTGACAATTTTGCCTGAAATTCTTCCATTTCCTCGTGACTCATCTGAACCATGTCAGACTAATTCGAATACAAACAGAACAATTAACGATATGCAACAATGTAAAAAAAACTATTCCAAATAGTTTTCTGATCAATGAAATTCATTTATTTTCAATTTGAAACATTATTTTAATTTCTATAAATACTAGTAACCATCAGCTAATTTACTAAACAGAATAACAACACTTAACCATCGCATCAAACGAAGAGAGGTCAAAGTTGAGGGTTGGTGAGGAAACACGAAGATCACCGCATGTAAGAGCTTCTTGCTCTGTTATCTCATTGTTCATCATGCGGTCATACAAATGCAAACTGTTTGTAATCTGGAAAGTATTTTAAAAGTAATAATCAACCAATATAAATTGTACTTTTGTTTTGGCTGAAAAACGAGCAATAACAAACTTCTTTCTTGCAGTCATTTAATTTTTCAATGTTGTTTTCAGCCTGGCTAATTTGTGCCTGAGAGCCATGCAACAGTTTTGAAAGTTGAACCAAACGTCTGTAGCTAGCCTGGAAAATTTGAAAGGTTAAAATTTAAATTCAAAGGTTAAAAAAATAAAAAATAGGATGAATTGGTTGCCTACTTCAAACTTCATTTCCAAATCCATCTCTTGTTGTCTCAATGCATTTAATTCTTGCCTCTTCGATTTCATATCTTCTTCAATTGTCTAATGGCATGAAATTTTGAACATCAATGAGAAGAATTTGATAATGTAATCACGCACACACACTTTGTCCGGCGCAAACACTTAAGTACACAACATACACATATATATATACATAAATCGTTTATACATCATTTGAGAGTGACTTCATATCACTCCACGTCATTATCACATCATAAAATCTAATCAATAGAAGATCAAGCAAATAAGACACAGTATACTTTGTTCAGATTGTCCTTGTTACTCAATTGTTCCTTCAAATCAAGGATCTTGTAATATAATAAAAAACAATTAACTAATTAATCAATCAGTTAATCAATCAATCATCCAACCAATTTCAAAGACCTTCTCCAAAACTTAAATGCACAATTAATTTAACAAAAATTGGTCAAATGAGATATTTTAACAAAAAATAGCCACCTAGGCAAACAGTTTCAATTTCAAGCTAACAATGTATAACACAGTTTAAAGTCTACAGCTAACAGCTAAGAATACTTACTGAAAATTGTTTTAAAATATCTATATGAAAAGTAACATGACAATCATTTGATATGACTCATTGATAACATTAAAAAAAATTATATTACAAGGCATAGTAATAATTTATAGGAACCTTTTTGTGTTGTTTGTCTTTGAGGTCTTCATTTGATTTGATAGCCTTCTCCATTTGAACTTTCTACAAAACCAAAAAAAAATCAATTTTTTTAAAAATGTTAATAAAATAACAATGGAACCACAGAAAAATAAGCTCAAGCTTTTATAACACCTGTAAAGGAAAAAATGTCCAACTGCTGTCAAAAAAGAAACAAACCTTATTGTCCAATTCGTCGAGCCTCTTTTGTGCCTCATTCTTCTGGTTGTTCAACTGCTTCACTGCCTCAACGACGACATCAATCTCTTGCTGAAGTGATATGAAGTCACTCTCAAATGATTTTATTGTCTCATTCAGTGCCAATTTTTCAGCGTCTGATTTCTGTTTAGCTCTAGTAAGATGATGATTATGCAGAATGCAGCAGTAATTTATAATGTCTGGCAAAGAAGATTGCAAAATTAAAAATGATAATTTGCAAATTTTTTTTATGAATTTGAAACATAGCAAAATACTTTAGAACTTGAATAATTCAGTTATAAATTAACCATAAGTATCAAAATTTCTTGCAACTGCTATCAAGGTAATCAATTTTATATGAAAAATTCAGATATATAAAAAATAACAGTCATTTTAAATCATAAGCCAAAGTACACAAACAATTTTCCAAACTATTTTAAACATTTCATGAACAATTCCATCCGTTAAAACAAACAAACAAACATTTTAATCTTTTCAATATCTGCAGTCAACAGTTCAATTTCCTTGATGCCAGGTGTGTTCATGTCATACACTGTTCCAGGCGGTGGAACGTTATCCTTTAAATAAATTTCAGGCTTGTGTCATATTATGTTATGACAACATTTTGTAGTTTTGAATGACGTCATTTTAATGTTTTGTGATAAAATGTCATTAAATGGCAATGCTACAGTTATACCAATGGTGTAAAATACTAAAACCATCACGTTTTTAATAAAATTACTTTGAAATCAACTAAAAAAATAATTCTAAATAATTTCAACAGTGGAATAATCCTGTTAGTGACGAAATCAGAAAATTATTGAATGTTTGTGATGATACAAACTTACTCCCAATGAGTTTCTCCTCGCAGATGGTGGAATCATGTTTTGTGCCAGTTTGTTGGGCACATCAACACCCTTCAATTTTTGCTGGATCAGGTGCATGGCAAGTGCAAACTGATCTTTGTTCAACTTGCCTTGATTCTTTGTGTCACACAAACTCCTGAACATTATAAAATGATAAAATATATACATGGAAATGTTTAAAAAAGAAGTGAATGAGATGTAACAGAATGTAAAAAACTAGATGTAACACATGCAACATGTTATAATTATTCTAAATTTAACAATTAATCAAATCCAAAAATATAACAAACAAATTAACAAACCATATCTTAGCTAATACAGGTTGAGGCAGTCCAGATTTGATGAATATTCTTTTAATCTCTGATCCACTAACATATCCATCCTTATCTGTATCAGCCTTCACGAACAATTCATCACACTGGGCCTTAGCTTGAGGAGTCACCACCCAACCTACTGTGTGAGGAGGTTGAGAATTTCCAGATGATGACAAGCAAGACGTTGATGGTTGGACTTTGGTCTGCATGAAAAATTTAAAAATTAGCGGGTAATTGCTTTCTCTTAGTACAAATTTTAAAATTTTGAGCTGAACACATTGGCCAGTTGGTAATTTTACCTCGTTTGTGCAATCATTTTCACCAGCATTCTTATCTGCCTTATCAGGAGGAAGTGATAATATCTTTGTTGTTACTGTTGTGGGATTGGATGAAGGAACAATTTTTTGCTTTCGTTTATTCGGGGGAACCATTTCTGGAGGCAATGCAGATGGAACAGGAATTTTTTGTAAGGCTTTATATACCAAGTTCATTGCCTTGAAAAACATCCAAATTATGTGGCATCAAATTGATTATAAAAGAAATAAACAATAAAGAGCATACCACAGAAAATTCTTCCCTGTCGAGTGAGCCATCTCCGTCAATATCACTCAAATCCCACACCTGACCCAGCACATCTACTGGCAGTTTTGAGTTCAACAGTATCTTCAAAGCATGACATATTAAAAAATTTTAATGAATCATTTAGTTATTTCAACATTCATCATAAACAAAAATCTTAAATGAAATGGTTGACTTTTAATCAATCAATCAATCTTCGTTTTGCGTCCAGAGACCCGGTTTCCCGAGGTAGGACGTTGTTTTCTTTGCCATCAACTTTTTGCGCCAAATTAGACGATCAGTTGTATCCATTTCATTTAAATTTAGAGCTTTCATGTCTTGCTCAATTGTTTGCGACCAGGACTTCTTTGGACGGCCTTTGGGACGTGTGCCAGGTACTTCAACATCTGCAAGAAAAGTTATGGCACTGTTTCCACTTCGTTTGACATGACCAAACCACCGCAGACGGTGTTGCCGGCATTCGTCCTTTATATCATCTAAACGAGCACGACGCAGGATTTTGGTAGATTTGATGTGGTCCTTCAGACTAATTCGTTGCATCCATCGGAGCATTTTCATGTCGGTTCGTTGAAGTTGTTGTTCCAGTTTGGTTGTCATTGGCCATGTTTCTGCACCATATAACAACACCGGACATATCACAGATTTATAAAGTCTTGATCGTAGTAGTAGTGGGATGTCACGCCGCATCAATATAAAGGCAAGGAGATGCCATTTATTCCAGGCTGCACGTATGCGTGCTCGAACGGCAGCTTCAGCTGTTCCAGTACAATCCAGAACATCCCCTAGATATTGAAACGATGTGACTTTCTCTATTTTAATGGCTTCAAAAACAGTGCTATTTTGAATTTGTTGTTGTGGATTGATGCAAACAGGACAAACAAAATTGGACACTTTAGATAAAGTACCAACTATTTTTGAAGAACGTTTGTGACACCACTGGTTACACTGCTGACACTTGATTGAATTCTTACCTACACCAGCTTTACAAACTGAACAGGGCCATCGTACAGTAGCTGTGGATTGGATGGGTTCACCAGTGTTCATTGCTTTGGTTTTGCTGATGTTGACTTTGAATCCATGATCGGCGAGTCTGGTGTTCCAATCTTCAAACATCTGTGCTGCATTCTGCTCAGACGTGGCTGTTAAAATGATATCATCAGCATATACTAGTGCATATCGGTTTTGTGATTTCTTCCATCACAGTTATAAATAAAAGTGGACTGAGAATCGAGCCTTGGTGAACTCCAACGCCGATGTCAAATGCATCTGTGTTTCCAACCGTTGTGCTGACAAGAGTCTTAGTATTCGTATACAATTCCATCACAAGTCGAACAAGATATTCTGGAATGAGTTGTCGACGTAGACTCCACTTGATTGCTTCACAGGGAACTCGATCAAATGTTGACTTTTAAAAGTGTCATTAAAATAGATAAGATGCATAATATATATAACAAAATTTTCTGAATGTGTTAAAAGTTAACCTACTGGTTTGACTTTGTTGCCAGGAATCAACCCTTCAACTGGGTTCAATGTATCAAATATTTGGTCATACTTCAACCGCTCCGTCAACTGAATTGAAATAGAAAATAAAACAAATTAAAACAATTAATCAAGCATTCAATGCAAATATAAATACAGTAGTTTATAATGAATAAACAAGAAAAAACATGGAATTACTGACTGGTATTCCCCACTCTCCATCCAAACTCTTGTCTTTCTTGACATCATTTGTAACACTTGTGATCTTTGAAGTATTATTTGTAATCACATTTGAAATTGTTGGCTTTGTAGTATTTGGCTCCTTAAATTGTTAAAAAAATCATCATAAATGACAAATAATACAAAAAAAACAGAATATAAAATAAATCAATCTTACAAAACTAGGTGGGGGCAGATCAAGTGTAAGATACTTGGCATCAACCTCTCTGCCACTCTGCACCACAGCTATCAACTTAAGAGCCACATAAAATCCTTGTTTGTCCAAGAACCCCCTCCCCTGGGGATCTGCCAAGTCCCATATCTATGTTTCAGGATGTTAGGTTCAGTATAAAATAAAAACGTTGGAGTAAAAGAACAAAAATGTAAAAAAAATAGAAGCATGATCACCATGTTAATTCCAAATATATACATAAAAAAGCAAAAGTTTATTGCATTGGTAGTTGTAATCGTGGTTACAAAATGTAGTAAAAAAAATATACTAACATCTGATAATATTGATTCTTTAAGTTCAGATTTTTTAAGAAAATTAGCTGCTTGTACAGCACCAATGTTACCTTTGCCTTTTAGGTCAACCTGGTAACAATTAATTCAAGATAACTATAAGTTGCATCTTTAATTTGTAGTGAAACTTACTTGTTTGAAGAATGTTTCATAGATTAATATATGTTGACCAGCAATCTAACAAATAAAAAATTTAAATAGATTGAAATGTACTCAAAAATATTCACTAAGACAAATTTCTGTACTAGGTAGTTAGCAAAATGAAAATGAATTTAAACTTGCTTGAATAACTATACAAACTTATAAAAAATCTGTCTTGATTTAATTGAATTAAAAATATAAATTTGGTATTGCTCAAAAACTCTGACATAAACACTGTACATGCAAAATTAAATTGCCTATTATTTGATTCACAACCCTATCTATAGCATTGTGTCCGTTTGTATATTGAAAAAGTTAAATAAAATAATAAATGAACATTTGTGTATTTATAGTATTATAATAAATATTATATATGTGTGAACTTAAAATTTAGATTTTTTATAACTATTGGTAAAAATATCCTTGATCATTTTTCATTTGCTAAATTAATAATAATTACACTCATGCATAGAATTTGAATATAAAACATAATATTCAATCAGTCACAAACTGAAACAAAAACAAGTTTTAAAAATTAAACTTAAAACTAGATAGTAAAAAAATTAAAAAAAAACAAAACAAAAAACAATTCTTTTTAAATTTAATTTTGAGTTTCAGTAGAACTTAGAATTGAAGTCAGCAAGTTAATTAAATTAATTACTAAATAAAATAAATTTAAATAAAATTATTTATTTATTTAAAATAAAAATATTTGACAGAAATAAAAATTAAAAAACCAACCGAAACGAATTAATAATAGAAAAAACCCAAGATGCAAGTACTGCCGCAAACGCTAACCAAACCAGGACTAAAATTTAAAAATTGAAAATTAAAATGAATTATCTGATTTAAAATTAAAATAAAATTTGATGAATGAAAAAAGTAGGATGATCATAAATCATTTATTAAAAATATATCAAAAAATCCATAAACTTATTATGCAGTTTTAAAAGCAATAAAACGCGACATTAATAATTTAAATAACGATACGTACAGAAGAAATTGTAGGAAACGTCGCCATTTTATTGTGGGTGTTTATTTGCCGAAGATACCAAATAGCGCACTCTAATAATAATAAATTAACATTAATTAGAAGTGAATCTGTTTAAAAGAGAATCTTGAATTAAACTTATCGTAAATGCAAATAATTTTACATTTTGAACCATTTCATTTAACAGTTTAACATTAAATTTTCAATAATTTTTAGGATTGTCACCATGGATATAATATATACCTATCATGATTGTCACGTTCAGATTCATATAATTTTGTCACGCCACAGACGAGCCATTCAAGTGAACGATTTGTTCGTTGCTTCATTAGATTTATTTCACTCTACTATGGTCTTTCTGATTCTACAGTCTAATCCTGAAATAAAGTTTATAACTGCTGCTTTTCTAGTTGCTCGTGTCCTTATCTTTCTTCATTTATCTCCATATCTAGTTCTCTTTGTCTACCTTAATATATAGAACAACTTTTAAAATTTGCTTATTAATGTACAAGTTTCAATTCAAATTATTTCTTCAGTATTACTTATCTCATATGTTATTTAAGCCTAAAAAAACGCTCCGGTTTACTATCGTCATCTCGTTCGCACTTTTTCCCAACTCTTGTAAAACGCTCATATTCTTAAAATGCTCTTGTTTTTTCTGGCCCTTTTCTCTGGAACTCTTTACCTCCTTTTCTAACTACTTCTCCACCACTTACGAAACTCAGAATAGATCTCAAAACCCATCTCTGTAAAATTCATTGAGGACCATTTACCACAACAATCAAACACGAAATTTATTAAAAATACAATCAAATGAAAAATGGAGATTTAAATTTACAAATCTTTCCTATCGCATCAGAAACTAAGCTAGAAAATGCAGTTCGTAACATCATCTACTTAACAATTTACGAAAAATGTTAATGGTTTTAACGTTGTAAACTCTTTAAACGTATTAGGTATCAAATTTATCAATAAAACATGATAAATGTCAATAAGTAAAAATAAACATTTAAAAAGGAAATAGATCATTCAACATAGTTTACAATTCTTCTTAAGCTTTAGACGCAATTTTTTTGCTTAGTAGGCGTTTTATGGAATTGGTGATATTGTGAACTTGTGGAAACGCATTCTGTTCAAGCAACTGCGCGTATGGAGTAGGAACATCAGCTCCAGTGATTCGTATTAGTGGAGCATCTAGGTAACTGAAGGCTGGGCCTTTTGTAAATAAAATCGTTATGATCCATTATTGTAAATACAATAATTATTTCTAAACATAGCATCCAGTACTTTCCTTGTTATACTTTATAATGCCATCAATTTGAAATAAGACATAAAATGTTTGCATTAGTAAGAAAAATGCAAGCAACACCTTCAAGAAACATTACAAAAATAATAATCAATACATTTCCTAACCTTCCATAATTTTTGCTGCAATCTCAGCTCCGACACCAAATTGCGGCCACCCGCCTTCAACAGTGACCAAATGATTAGTCTTCATGACAGATTGTATAATAGTTTCTTCATCCATGGGTCTGATGGATCTAAGATTGATAACTTCACAATCTATGCCCACCTGTTCGAGTTCCTTGGCAGCATCCAGTGAAAATCCAACCATTCTTGAGTGGGACACTATCGTCACATCCTTACCTAAAATTGACAATACAATTTTTTAATTTTCATTAAACAAATCTCAGTTTCTATGATGAGAACAAAATACGTAAATATACTGTTTCAAGTTTCATAACAGAGAACTCAATTAACACATACCTGCCCAAACTAAAAAACTATTTTATAAAAGATAAACAAACTGACATTATTGATCAGCTAACATTGAACAATTTAAAATAAAACATTATTTCGCAATTGACTGTAAAGAGAAACTGACCTGCTCTCTCAATTTTAGCTTTTCCAAAGGGTATGAGAAAATCTTCAGAGAGTGCTTCATCTGATACCTCAAATGTCACTCCATACATCAACTCATTTTCAAGGACAATTACTTAACAAATAAAACAATTATGAATGCTTGGATATTGAGTCAATTAAAAGTTTAATGATACTTAAAAAATCATTATCACCTGTGAATTTTACAATGATGAAATGAAAAATAACGACAAGTACCAGGATCATTATCTCTGATGGCAGTCTTCAACATTCCTCTGGCATCTTCAGAGTTGTATACGGAGAAAACCTTCAAACCAGGACAGTGACCATACCAGGCAGCATAACATTGAGAATGTTGAGCAGCTACCCCTGAGGCAGAACCATTTGGGCCTCGAAACACTATTGGAACAGAGACCTAGGAACATTTCCAAACAGAAGAGCACATTAATATTTATAAGCGAGCACACATTGAAGTGAATCAGTTACTTGTAAATTTTATTAATTAAATGTTACAACTTAAATTGTAATTCATGTTACAACTTGAACCAAATAACATTTAGCATCTAAAATAATGATTCACCAAACAAAATTCTAAAATAAAAAAGTTGCAAACAAACTTTTCCAGCAGACATGTAAAACGTTTTGGCTGCTGAATTGATTACCTGGAATTTATAAAAAAAAAATTTAAATAAAAAACTAACAGATGTAATAAAAAATTTAGATGCTGGTTTGCATTAATGGATAGGTTTTCTGACTATGGATAAACCAATGCAACTGACAGGAAAGGAGTTGAAAAAAAATCACTGATGCCACAAACAACTTGTAACATATGAATTTCATTCACAAAAAATTGAATATGTCACCAGATAATTTAAGATTATTTATTAAGATTATTAATTTATTATTCATTAAAATTATTAAGATGAGATTATTTTTGAATTTGGCAAATTTAAAATATTTGCTGGCAGAATATCTCTAGAAAGAGTGAGTTATAAACAATAATGATGATGGTGATGGTAGAGAGATTTTACTATTAAAAGACTGAGCAAACAATTTCTGAAACGATCACTAACTTGATCAATAGCTTGCATAGAAAAGTTGAATGTCATAAATTCACAAATGGGTCTCAAACCAGCCTGAAAATAATATTTAACACCTTGATTTAAAAAAAGCTGGATGTGTTTTTGCATGTTATAAAAACGAACAAATGAAAAATGTAGTTACCATTGCTGCTCCGACAGCTACCCCAGCAAATCCCATCTAGCAAATGAAAAAAAAGAGAGATTATTTATTAAAAATTGAACAAACATATAAAAATGGCAGAACCTCAGTAATTGGAGTGTCTTTGATTCTTTTGTCTCCATACTTTTTCCATAGTCCTTTACTCACCTGTTTGTTGACATAAACAATAAACAAAAATTTAAATCCATTGTAATAAAATTGTAAACATAAGCAATGAAAATCAACAAAATTATAAATAGGAATCCACCATGGGATCAAGATTTTAAATTGAAAATACTCAAATTTATGTCAAGTCACAAAATGTGGAATAAATCCAAACATCAGGGTACAGACGTTTCTACATGAGTACATGAGTTTCCTATTCAGATACATATAGAAAAATATTCTTTAACTATGTTCTATTCAGTAAACTATTAGTCTGAGTTTTGTAATAAAAAATTAGAATTGTAAAATCATAGATAATTCATCAGTAAGACCTTGTAAGCTCCATCATACTGAGCCACTTCTTCCCCCATGAGAAAAACTTTTTCATCCCTTCGAAGTTCTTCATCCATGGCAGTGTTCAGTGCATCACGAACTGTCATCTTGTTGTTGAGAAACATTAGTGTTAAAATAACTAAAAAATGGCATGTAAAGAGAAGATGATGGACAAATTTTTTAAAGCAGTTTCTTAATATCTTAAGTCATTGACAAAAAAATTAATTATATTTGCTTGATTTTAATTTCTTTTAGCTTTGGCCTTTTATTGAAGCAACTCAATTACACTTTGTAAACTATTTTTTTTCATAAAAACTTCATCAAATCTATTTCAAATAAATAAATGGCTTAACCACATACAACTAAAAAACAAAAAATACACTACTACTCCTTGCACCAGATTACTAGTACCTGGCAGTAAGTACTACCACCAAAAAACAAAACCTACACTCTCTTCTATACCTAGTACAGAACAAAAAATTTTCAAACAACTTCTTAATGTGTAAATTGTAAATTCAAACAAAATGTCATAATAATAATATGATATTCATAAAAAATAAATTTTCTGATTTTGACATTTTGTCAAATATAAAATATATAAAATAAAATGTATCACCAATTTTCCAGACAGTACTCTGGTTGCACAAAAACCTCTTTGAAAGTTCAAACCATAATGCTTTGCCTGTTATTAAAAAATGTAATGTTAACGTTAATTTTAAAATTGATATGATTTTTTTTTCATTTGCAATGTGTAAGATATAAAAAAGTTAAAACTAAGAATAAAAGAATGTTGTGGTCTTTGACACAGACTAAAATAAAATGTTAACTAACGGATCCAATCACAC